GAATCACCACAACAGATCAGTTACTATAGTTGTGTTACTATAGCAACTGTAGAATCACCACAACAGATCAATTACTATAGTTGTTGTCATCATAGCAACTGTAGAATCAGCACAACAGATGAATTCTAATTAAATCAAAGACACAGTAGAATGTACTCTATAACTACAGTATTTAGTGTTAGGGATGCTCTGCTTCACCGGTAAGGACACTCTCCTCTCAGTAAAGCGAAGTGACCAATGACCTTCAGATCCAGATCAAAGTTTATAAGACTTAAGGCCACAGACAGACAGGAGGTCAACAATCTCCTCTTCTCCCCCCTAAAGAAAGATCTAACACACATTTGTCCGCCATGTAAGAAAACAAACCCTCAGTTTAGTGTTGCTAACAAAGGGTCTTAAATGAGCCCCCGGCAGCACTTCATCAGAAACCTCTGGCAGCTGCTAATGGGGCTTTAATGTCCTGCTTCAGCTCGGAGGGTCTTCACACTGTCTTTAACACGGCCTGCTTAAAACACACGGGTGGTCTTCGGATTTCACATCATTCAGCTCATTACAAGACTTCATTTGTGTTTGTGTGTGTGTGTGTGTGTGTGTGTGTGTACCTTGATTCCTAACTTTCTGGGGATCAGATGTCCCCACAAGTAAAGAAATTCCAGTCATTTTTGTCTTGATGAGGAAAGTGGATCATGAATTACACAGAGTGAAGCATTTTGAAACTGTAAAAATGTTGACTGTTTTCTAGAGTTGGTTGGAATATATTATTTGTAGAGTATAAAAATCATTGTCTATATGAAGTCCCCAAAATGATAGCTGTACAAGTGTTTGTGTGTGTGTGTGTGTGTGTGTATATATCTACACTTTTAACAGCAGATGGCGCTCTAGAATACTTTTCATTTGCAAACAACGCTCTAGGCTAAGTTTTAACAGCAGATGGCGCTCAAGGTTAGTTTTCATTTGCAAACAACGCTTTAGGCTAGTTTTTAACTACCGATGCCGCTCTAGGCTAGTTTTTATAAACAGATGGTGCTCTAGCCTAGTTTTTAGCTGCAGACAGGGCTCTAGGCTAGTTTTGAAAAGCAGACGGTGTTCTAAGCTAGTTTTTAACAGCAGATGGCGCTCTGTGGCTAGTTTTCATTTGCAAACGATGCTCTAGGCCAGTTTGTAACAGCAGATGGCGCTCTAGGCTAGTTTTCATTTGCAAACGTCGCTCTAGGCTGGTTTTTAAAAGCAGATGGCGCTCTAGGCTAGTTTTTACTTGCAGATGGCGCTTTAGGCAAGTTTAATTTGCAAACAGTGCTCTAAGCTAGTTTTTAACAGCAGACATCGCTCTAGGCTAGTTCTTAACTGCACATGGCGTTCTAGGCTAGTTTTCATTTAAAACAATGCGCTAGGCTAATTCTTAACTGCAGATGGCGCTCTACGCTAGTTTTCATTTGCAAACGGCACTCTAGGCTTGTTTTCATCTTAAAAGTGCTCTATTCTAGTTTTTAAAAGTAGATGGCGCTCTAGGCTAGTTTTCATCTGAAAAGTGCTCTAGGCTAGTTTTTTAAAGCAGATGGTGCTCTAGGCTAGCTTTTATTTGCAAACGATGCTCTAGGCTACTTTTTTTAACAGCAGACGGCACTCAGACTGGTAAAGTGCTAAACAAAATAGCTTTTCTTGCGTTAAATATATTTACTAAATGAAAATCCCGCTCTCAATTAAACTGAGTTCTTCCAACAAGCTATTGTTGAAGAAGCTGAAGTCAAAAACTGTGTAACTTCACAATCCACACGTTACCTTTAATAACAATTAATGATATCAAAGATTACCTTAAACTGCAAAAACCAATCAAACACAAATGAGCAGGTAAAAATGTAAGTGTATTTTTGGTTTTGTGATATCATCAATGCAGCAAGTCAGAAATATGAATCTTCTCAGAAAAAAGCCTGAGGACAGTAATAATACCCCATAAATCTCCACAGAAAAGCTCCATGTCTGCGGACCAGAGCACTGATCCAGCGCCGTCTTACATTCTCAACACAAGCATAGAGACAGCGTACAAAAGACCACGACCCACAAAATATTACTTTACAAAGAGGAAAAAAATAGAAACATCTCTTCATCTGTTTTCAGGTAGTTTTGGTCACACACACGTGCTCATTGCATCCCTTCAAAAGTCTTTTCTTCCAATATTGAAAAACTCCAAAAATACTGCAAACTATTTCTCCATCTACGAGTAGAAAATGCTCTGTAAAAAACATTCCTCCTTCTAAATCAGAACTGGACAATATCATCATCAAAAAAAAAAAAAAAAAAAAGCCAGATCTGGTAGTAAACGCCACCAGCACCAGCCATGAGCGACGTGAACACACACACAGAAAGTCATTTACTTCAAAATAATGCTCCAAAATACAGTTACAAGTGCTAATCCAACGACATGGTTAAAGGGAGAGTTCACCTCCAACTTATGTGTTTACGTCTCTTTAGTTTCACCATAAGCTCTGTTCGCATAAAGATTATGCTCTTTGTGTCCAAACAATAAAAATAAGTGGCTTTAAAAAAAGAAACACGCACCAAAAAAAGCTGTACGAATGACTTGTGCCCTATGTTAAAAAGTTTTATATCTATTTGGTACATCACAAATACAGCTGTGGTGAAAAATTGCTTGAGAAATCGATTCTCATGCATCGCTATTTTTAGAAGATGGCGCTCTAGACTAGTTTTTAGATGCTGCTCAAGGCTAGTTTTCAACAGCAGACGACGCACAAGGTGAGTTTTCAAAAACAGATGGTGCTCTAGGTGAGTTTTCAACAACAGATGGCACTCTAGCCTACTTTTTAACAGCAGACAGCACTCTAGTTGAGTTTTCAACAACAGATGGCGCTCTAGGTGAGTTTTTAGATGGCGCTCTAGGCTAGTTTTCAACAGCAGACGACACTCTAGGTGAGTTTTCAACAGCAGACAGCGCTCTAGCCTAGTTTTTAACAGCAGGCGGTGCTCGAGGGGAGTTTTCAACAACAGATGGCGCTCTAGGCTCGTTTCTTTAAACAATGGACATCGCTCTTGGCTAATTTTCAACAGTAGATGCCGCTCTAGGCTAGTTTTTTAACAATTAACAGCTTTCTGGACTAGTTGTAACAGCAGATGATGATGCTCTAGGCTAATTTTCAATAACAGATAGCGCTCTAGGCTCGTTTTCAACAGAAGGTGCAGCACTAGGCTAGTTTTTTAACAAATAATAGCTCTCTAGGCTAGTTTTCAACAACAGATAGCGCTCTAGGTTAGTTTTTTTAAACAATGGACATCGCTCTAGGCTAGTTTTTTAACAATTAACAGCTTTCTGGACTAGTTGTAACAGCAGATGATGATGCTCTAGGCTAGTTTTCAATAACAGATAGGACTCTAGGCTAGTTTTTTTAAACAATGGACATCGCTCTTGGCTAGTTTTTAACAGCAGATGGCGCTCTAGGCTAGTTTTTAACAATTAATAGCTCTCTAGACTAGTTTGAACAGCAGATGATGATGCTCTAGGGTAGTTTTTAACAACAGATGGCACTCTAGGCTAGTTTTCAACAGAAGGTGCAGCACTAGGCTAGTTTTTTAACAAATAATAGCTCTCTAGGCTAGTTTTCAACAACAGATAGCGCTCTAGGTTAGTTTTTTTAAACAATGAACATTGCTCTAGGCTAGTTTTCAACAACAGATGGCACTAGGCAAGTTTTTAACACCAGATGGCACACTAGGCTAGTCTTTTTAAACAACTGACATTGCTCTTGGCTAGTTTTCAACAGTAGATGGTGCTCTAGGGCTAGTTTTCAACAGCAGATGGTGCTCTAAGCTAGTTTTCAACAGAAGGTGGAGCTCTAGCTAGTTTTTTAACAATTAACAGCACTCTAAATTAACAGCAGATCGCGATCTTGGCTAGTTTTAACATCAGACGGTGCTCTAGGCTACTTTTTAACAACAGATGGCACTCTAGGCTAATTTTTATTACTAGATGGTGCTCTAGGCCAGTTTTTAACAGCAGACGGATAGGCGCTCAAGGATATTTTATAACAGCAGACGGGGCTCTAGGCTAGTTTTTAACATCAGATGATGCTCTGGGATAGTTTTTAACAGCAGATGGCACTTTACAGCTGTTCTTAATAGCAGATGGCGCTCTAGGCTAGTTTTTAATAGCAGATATCGCTCTAGGAGAGTTTTTAATAAAAGACGGCACTTTAGGCAAATTTCTAATAGTAGATAGTGCTCTCGGCTATTTTTTAACAGCAGACAGCGCTTTAGATTTGTTTTAAAAATCACTCTAGGCTAATTTTTAACAGCAGATTGAGCTCTAAGCTAGCTTTTAACAGCGGACAGTGATCCACACTTAAATGTTTATGCAGACAAGTGCTTGTGCATTCAGCCGAGTACTGCAAGTTGGCTTGCATGTCATGAGATTAATGTAAACACTCTTATAATTCACTTAAACCGTTCCTAAATTTCTTAATTTATATTATAGGCTTGAGTGGTATTTGTAAGGAATTGGATGCAAGCAGAGTATGGCTGTTAGTAAAGCACACATCGCCACCTGCTGTTAAAAATACATTCTAAAAATTGCAGAATTGATTTTCTGAATGATTTTTCACCACAGCTCTAATCAAAAAAGCCCGTTACTGACTGAAAATACAGTGTGAAGTCCAGATTCAAGAGTACACAAACATACGTGAGAGTTTTAAATAAGGGCTAAGAACAAGAATGTACATAAGTAAACTTAAATTACGCAAATTTCAGCCTATTTCTTGGTATTTTAAATGTGATTTAGTAATATCGCTCTACGAAAAAGAGCAGCAAGAACATTCTGCTAAATTTGTTCTTTATTGTATGTTCGGTAGGATGAATAACGTATGGTTTGAAAGTGTAATTATTTTGGGGTGAACTTTCCATTTAACCATTTTTAATTATATATATATATATATATATATATATATATATATATATATATATATATATATATATATATATATATTTTTTTTTAGAAGCAAAAAAAATAAAGGATCAGCACCATTTTTAGGTTTGTTTGACTCATTTAAATGGCTGTGATGCCAGAAAATACATCCAAATATTTTGGCAAAATCTGTGAAAAAATATGTCAAAATAAAAATAACAAACTCTACAGTAATAGTAGTAATTTGAAGGACATTCATATTTGAAGTATGATATGAATAATAGACGTTTTCAGTGCTGGTGATGAGGCTGGCACCATTTACCCTTTCAGCCGCTGCTGTTTACCATCCTCAAAAGGAAATGTAATATAATTACAAAGGAAAAAAAAACATGAAATCAGGTCAAAAATGTGAGACACTACCAGTAATATAAAACAAAATAGAACTTTTTTTGTAGCTTACAAACTCAAATCAGGTCTTTGAAACTTTTACAACCAAACAGATCACCAATATAGCAATCTAGAATAATAATAACAACGACGACAATCAAAAAATATAAGTTGAACTCTGAAGTGGTGCTGAAGGATTATCAATTTGTGGAATTATTCCCCTTGTAAAAAGCGGACAGCATAGACGAGCGATTGAATGGTGATTCTCCATGCGCTTTATGAAAACAGAAGCACACACGCACAAAAAACACCGAGAAAAAAACACGTCACTTCTGCATGCTGACATCCTCGGGGGGGAAACTCCACGATTGGCTGCAACTCGGTAGTGATATGAATCCTGTTTATTTTACACCAAACGTCCATTGCGATTTACTTCCTGTCAATTCTGTAAACAACAACATGATGGATTTAATGCCCAAGAAACTCTGAGGGAGTAAATTGCATTACACAAACCGCCGATATTACGCAATCCATCCTCAGTACTGAGAATCCAGCACGAACGTCTAAGAAATGGCACTTTTGCAGGATCGTACGCGACAAAAACAACGACACCAGTCCATGCTTATAGCAGCAGAGGAGCGGAAACAACAGGACAGCAGTGCCAGGGTAGGAAAAAAGCCCTTTTGCTGAAAATACCGTGCATATAGCAGGAGAAAACGCGCTATAGAAAAACCAACAGACGGACTGCAGCTACAACCTTTAGAAAAGCAGATTGCTGAAGTTCAGATGTCCATGTAGTCGTCTTCCTCGTCTGATTCACTCTCCAGGGACGACTCCTGACTGGACGTCTCCTGCACTTCTAGCGCAGGCTGAGCCAGGGTGTCCTTCTTCACATTAGCTGCCGACTGAGAGGACAGGATCACATTCTGATGGGGAATAAAACATCATTAGTAAGGCAGAAAAAAAAAAAATTGAAATGCGGCTCTAAAAACAACAACAACAAATGAGGTATCATTGAATGTTCATGCTGTATTTTTCCCATATAATGTAAAGTCGACAATGACCAAAGGTCCCAAAAAGCATCATATACAGCTGAATCAGTAGCCCCTCCATATATTTATTTCCCCAATTTCTGTTTACCAGAATGAAGATTTTTTTTAACACATTTCTAAACATAATAGTTTGTTCTGTAGACAATTGAAAAGCAAATATTGCTGAATGTGGCTAATAATATTGACCTTTAAATGGTTTTAAAACAATTGAAATCAGCTTTTATTATAGCAAATACAGTGCATGTATATATATATATACACTTTATTAGGTACACCTGTCCAACTGCTCATTAACACAAATTTCTAATCAGCAACTCAATGCATTTAGGCATGTAAACATGATCAAGACGTTCTGCTGTAGTTCAAACTGAGCATCAGAATGGTGCAGAAAGGGGATTTAAGTGACTTTGAACGTGGCATGGTTGTTGGTGCCAGACGAGCTGGTCTGAGTATTCCAGAAACTGCTGATCTACTGGGATTTTCACGCACAACCATCTCTAGGGTTTACAGAGAATGGTCTGAAATAGAGAAAATATCCAGTGTGTGTCAGTTCTGTGGGCGCAAATGCCTTGTTGATGGTCAGAGGAGAATGGCCAGACTGGTTCCAGCTGATAGAAAGGCAACAATAACTCAAGTAAGCACTCGTTACAACCGAGCTCTGCAGAAGAGCATCTCTGAACACACAACACGGCCAACCTTGAGGCGGATGGGCTACAGCAGCAGAAGACCACACCGGGTGCCGCTCCTGTTAGCTAAGAACAGGAAACTGAGGCTACAATTCACACAGACTCACCAAAACTGGACAATAGACGATTGGAGAAACGTTGCCTGCTCTGATGAGTCTCCATTTCTGCTGACACATTCGCATGGTCGGGTCAGAATTTGCCGTCAACAACATGAAAGCATGGATTCATCCTGCCTTGTATCAACGGTTCAGGCTGGTGGCGGTGGTGTAATTTTGTGGGGGAGATTTTCTTGCCACACTTTGGGCACATTAGTACCAACTAGTGGTCCAACCCGGTACTAGTAAGCTGTACCTAATAAAGTGGCCGGTAAGTGTATACATAAAAACAATAGAACACTTAAATACTTTATTTACTGTTAAGTATCCAAAACCAAAAATACAAAATATATTCGATTTCATTGTGTCATCTGCTTTCCTAAAGAATTTAGGAATGAATGAAATATTCACACACACCTTAAGCTTCTGCTTGGTCTCCTCAGAGATGCTACCTTTGGGGGACAGCAGGGTGGGCGTGGGGGGCGTGACGGTGATCTCCGGGGGGAATTTGGTGACGGTGGAGGGAATCAGCAGTTTGGGCATGTTGGGTGGGATTCTGGAGCGGATGCGACTCGGATCGTTCTGCTTCGACTGCTCACTTTCTGCAGAAGTCATGCAAGAAATCAACATTATTATTATTATTATTATTCCTTTTAATTCCTTTTTATGGAAAGCATGAAAAAAACACAATAAAAACAAGTAATTCTACAATATTATTAGCATTTATTAGCATTAAGCATCTGACAAACCTTTAGTTGAAATTCCTGTTAATTTTTCTTCAATATATTCAATGCAAAAAACACTTTTCTCAGAGATTTAGTGTTGTTTCCAGTCCAAAATATTTTTTAAAACTCTTAAATCAAGACGTATTTTCTAGACAAGCAAAAACAATTGTCTTAAGTGAGTTTTACCTTTAAACAAGCAAAATAATCTGTCAATGGGGTAAGCAAAATAATCTTGTTTTTGCTTTGACATAAGATTATTCACCTTGAATTAAGACTCACCTAATTTTGACATATAATTACTAAATATGCTTGTCTAGGAAATGCTTTTTGATTGGAGAATTTTCAGATTTTTGAACTAGAAACAAGACAAAATTAGACAAAATTAGTTTACTTATTTCACTTAAGTAAACTTGGTTGAAAGTGGACAGGCTCAAAAGCGTCCATCCCTGTTTCCACCTGAGCGAGCGAGCAATCAAGCGAGTCACCTGTGCTGGAGTGTGTTGAGCAGGACGGGGGCTCGTGTGCGGCCCACTCATGTGTGTTGTGGATCTGAGAGACGGTGGCCATCTTCATCTGCTGACACAGGTGAGACTCCTGCTGACGGTACAGCAGACCCTCAGACACCGGCTCTTCTCTGTCCTCTGCACACACACACACACAGAAGAGACACAGGGTTAGATGTTGATGTATGAGAACAATATTAACTAGACAGTAAAGTTCGTCGAGACAAACTTTGAGGCTGGCTTGACAAAGCCTGTTGGTAATAGTTTATTTAGTTTAAAAACAGTTTGAAAAAGTATAAGTAGCATGTTATTAGCATGATTCTAGCATGAATTAGCATGATTTTAGCATGGATTAGCATGTTATTAGCATGAGTGTAGTACAAATTAGCATTTTATTAGCATGATTCTAGTATAAATTAGCATGTTATTAGCATGCTTCTAGCATGAATTAGCATGTTACTAGCATGATTCTAGAATAAATTAGCATGTCACTAGCATGATTCTAGTATGAATTAGCATGCTACTAGCATGATTCTAGTATGAATTAGCACGTTACTAGCATGATTCTAGCATGAATTAGCATGTTACTAGTATGATTCTAGCATGAATTAGCATGTTACTAACATAATTCTAGCATGCATTAGCATGTTACTAGCATGATTCTAGTATGAATTAGCCTGTTACTAGCATGATTCTAGTATGAATTAGCAGGTTATTAGCATGATTCTAGAATGAATTAGCATGATTCTAGTATGAATTAGCATGTTACTAGAAGGATTCTAGCATGAATTAGCATGTTACTCGCATGATTCTAACATGAATTAGCATGTTATTAGCATGATTATAGTATGAATTAGCATGTTACTAGCATGATTCTAGCGTGAATTAGCATGTTATTAGCATGATTATAGTATGAATTAGCATGTTACTAGCATGATTCTAGCGTGAATTAGCATGTTATTAGCATAATTCTAGCATGCATTAGCATGTTACTAGCATGATTCTAGTATGAATTAGCATGTTATTAGCATGATTGTAGTATGAATTAGCATGTTACTAGCATAATTTTAGTATGAATTAGCATGTCACATAGCATGCTTAGGTGGTTGCTAGGGTATTCTGAGTGGTTGCTAAGTCGTTGCTAGGCAGTTGCTAGGGTGTCCTGAGTGGTTGCTTTGTGGTTGCTAAGATGTTGCTAGGCGGTTGCTAGGGTGTTGCTATGGTGTTCTGAGTGGTTGCTAGGTGGTTGCCAAGGCATTGCTATGCGGTTGCTAGGGTGTTCTGAGTGGTTGCTAGGTTGTTGCTAGGCAGTTGCTAGGGTGCTCTGATTGGTTGCTATGTGGTTGCTAAGGTCTTGCTAGGCGGTTGCTAGGGTGTTCTGTGTGTTGCTAAGATGTTGCTAGGTGGTTGCTAGGGTGTTCTGAATGGATGCTAGGTGGTTGCTAAGGTGTTGCTAGGGTGTTCTGAGAGGTTGTTAGGTGGTTGCTAAGGTGTTGCTAGGCGGTTGCTAGGGTGTTCTGAGTGGTTGGTAGGTGGTTGCTAAGGTGTTGCTAGGTGGTTGCTAAGGAGTCCTAAGTGGTTGCTAGGCAGTTTGCTAAGTGTTGCTAGGTGGTTGCTAGGGTATTCTGAGTGGTTGCTAAGGCGTTGCTAGGCGGTTGCTAGGGTGTCCTGAGTGGTTGCTAGGTGGTTGCTAAGGTGTTGCTAGGTGGTTGCTAGGGTGTCCTGAGTGGTTGCTAGGTGGTTGCTAAGGCGTTGCTAGGCAGTTGCTAGGGTGTTCTGAGTGGTTGCTAAGGTGTTGCTAGGCGGTTGCTAAGGTGTCCCAAGTGGTTGCTAGGTGGTTGCTAAGGTGTTGCTAGGGGGTTGCTAGGGTATTCTGAGTGGTTGCTAAGGCGTTGCTAGGCAGTTGCTTGGGTGTCCTGATTGGTCGCTAGGCCCTTACTAAGGCATTACTAGGCTGTTGCTAGGTGGTTGCTAGGGTAATTTGGGTGGTTGCTAGGCAGTTGCTAGGCAGTTGCTAGGGTACCCTGGGTGGTTACTAGGCAAGCCTCACATACATGCTTGATAAAACATTTATACTTAGTAAGCATTTCTAGCAAGTTACAGTACTTGGCTTATCAATATTAGCATGTAGCTAATCACTGCTAGCATGTGTAGCATATAGGAAGTTCCGTTTGCTAGCATGAGTCAAGCGAGCCAATCTCCAAGTCTCTACAATGTTCCGATGCTGGGATATAGCTGTTGATGAATGGTTGTTAGGGTACTCTGTTTTGTTGCTATGGGCGAGGTTACAGAGTGAACTTGAATGTGGTTGGCTGTCTAAGTCAAATGAACCAACCCCCATGTCTCTATGACACTGCTATGCAAAGATATGCATCTTGGTCTATTTTAATGGAAGTCTATGGAATCAATTTGGGGGCGTGGCTTGTGAGCTTCATTATCATATTGAGATGCTCATTGGTTGTCTGAGTCAGATAAGCCATCCCCCAAGCCAATAGGACACTGCTAAGCAAAGATATGCATGTAGGCCAGTTATTAACGTGAGTCTAGTATGAATTAGCATGTTACTAGCATGATTTTAGTACAAATTAGCATGTCATTAGCATGTTTCCAGTATGAGTTAGCATGTCATTAGCATGATTAGCATATGAGTAGCATGTTGCTAGCATGATTGGCATGTCATTAGCATGTTAGAATTATAAGCATTTAATAGCACAGCTAATTACAGTCTATAGGACAGTTACTAGGGTGCAGTATGTGGTAATTAGGGGTGTGGCTAGAAAGTTAAAAGGCCATCAGTGATTGGCTGCTGGCTAGACTGAGTTAAATGAGCTCAGCCATTAGTCTCTATGACAGTCTGATGCAGAGTTATGAGCTCACAAAGTTTGATCCCATGTAAAGTCAATGAGAGTCTTTTGTAATGGAAGTCTACGGGACAGTTGCTAGGGTGCAGTATGTGGTAGTTAGGGGTGTGGCTAGAAAGTTAAAAGCTCATCAGTTATTGGCAGTTTGGTAGTCTGAGTTAAATGAGCTCAGCCATTAGTCTGTATGACAGTCTGATGCAGAGTTATGAGCTCACAAAGTTTGATCCCATGTTAAGTCAATGAGAGGCTTTTGAATGGAAGTCTATGGGACAGTTGCTAAGGTGCAGTATGTGGTAGTTAGGGGAGTGGCTAGAAAGTTAAAAGCTCATCAGTTATTGGTAGTTTGGTAGTCTGAGTTAAATGAGCTCAGCCATTAGTCTGTAAGACAGTCTGATGCAGAGTTATGAGCTCACAAAGTTTGATCCCATGTTAAGTCAATGAGAGTCTTTTGAATGGAAGTCTATGGGACAGTTTCTAGGGTCCAAAAGTGGTTGCTAGGGCGTGGCTAGAAAGTTTAAAAGTCATCAGTTATTGGCAGTTTGATATTATGAGTTAAATGAGTCCAGTTAGAGTTCTGTGCGACAGTCTGACGCAAAGTTACGAGGTCACAAAGTTTGGTCCAATGTTAAGTCTATGGGATTTTTCCGACAGTCCCGGGACGTTTTTCGGAAAACCGAAAGTCGGATCAGTCTGAGTAGATATAGCAACCCGAGTCAGAATAGTTCGGAGGTCTGGTGTGAGTTTGGTGGTAATAGCTTGAAAGCTCTAGGAGGAGATGCGTTTTGTTTTTTAGTCTCAGAAGAAGAAGAATAATAAGTTTATATAGAATATCAGTAGTCTGGCTTTGACAAGCCAGCCTAATAATGGGCCTTAATAACATTATTAATTTATCAATAATGTCCTCTGACATATATGCAAATGAGCAGAATGAAGTTGACTAGATTTAATAAAACAGAAGTTGCTGAATTTCAAGGACTGCTCTGACAGATACAAACGGGATTGTGGTGTAGTGCACGTACTTTCACTGGCTTCTCAAGGACACACACAAACACATATACATACACACTTAACACAATCATGTACTTGTGTACTTCATCCTTGTTTCCTTAGCAACTGAGCATGAAGCACTGAACACATCAGTCTAAATGAGACGCAGCGAATGAACACACATTCATTCTGTGTCTGTGTGTGTGTGTTTTCAGAAGAACATGATGCGAGACCCCAGAGAAACATTTGGATTTATGAGAAATAAACTTGTCCTGAAGTCATACGCTGCATGTCAATGCCAGACAGGATGTGGTTCTACAAAGTGTAAATCTCAAACTCTGTAATTTCCTGAACAAGCGCTCCCTCTTCTGGCCACATGTGGAAACTGTCAACAGCAACACCAACCAGAAAACAAGTTTTCGGTTTAATGGACTATTTGTATTCATATTTTTATTATTCTTATGTATTTTGATTTTATATATTTAAATGAATGACAAAGCGCTTAATTTAACGTGTGACTAATGATACTTATTATCAATATTAATATTATTATTATAAATTGGGACTACAACAAATGTTATATTTGTATATTTATTATTATCATTATTATCATTACTATTGTTATTTTTATCATAAATTGGGACTACAACAAATGTTGTTTGTAATTGTTTGTTTGTAATGTAATTTATTATTATTATTATTATTATTTTCATCATTATCATCATCATCATCATCATCATCATTATTGCTATTATTATTATTAGTAGTAGTATTATTATTTTTTATTATCATTATTATTTTCATTATGTATTGGGACTACAACAAATGTTATATTTGTATATTTGTTATTATTATAATTATCATTAAAATTATTATTATTATCATTACAAGTTAGGACAACAACAAATGTTATATTTGTATTTGTTATTTATTATTATTATTGTTATTATTATTATTATAAATTGGGACTAAAACAAATGTTATATTTGTCTATGTAATTTATTATTATTATTATTATCATCAATATTATTATTTTATTACTATTATTTTAATTATAAGTTGGAACTGCAACAAATGTTATATTTGTCTATGTAATTTATTATTATTATTATTATTAATATTATCATTATTTATATTATTATTTTCATTATGAATTGGGACTACAACAAGTGTTATTGTTGTATATTTATCATTAATATTAGAATAAAAATAACGATGATGATGATTATTATTAATATTATTATTATAACTACTATAAATTGGGACTACAACAAATGTTATATTTATTGAAATATAATTTCATATTATTTCTATTTAATAATTTTTTATTAATTTTCCGGCCTCATACTTTCAGTCTTCAGGGTCACATGATCTTTCAGAAGGCATTCTAATATGATGTCATAAGTCCTACATAATTTTGTGGAACATGTGGAAAAAAATGTTTACATAAACCATGCTGAGTGTCATATTCAGAACATTATTTATTATTAAATATATATAAATAAAAATATAAAACCTATCCATCTTTTTCTCAATGTGCCTAAAATTGAATGTTTAATTTATAGTTTGAACCATTGGTTCGAGGCACTTCTATCATAAAAAAAACCTAATAATGTTAATTAACATGGTTCTTTGTGCTTTATTCTTATCTGTCATGAAAATAATATTAGGTGGCATGGTGGCTCAGGGGTTAGCACTGTCGCCTCACAGGAAGAAAGTCGCTGGTTTGAGTCCCGGCTGGGTCAGCTGGCATTTCTGTGTGGAGTTTGCATGTTCTCTCCATGTTGGTGTTGGTTTTGATCCTAATTGCGGTGTTTTGTTGACTGTAACTTTAAATTCAAATGAGATGGTGCTCTTCAAAAGAGGGCGGAGCTACATGATACATAATGGCATATTCAACAACTGTCACAGGATAAAGGACTATACCTGTGTGGGGCAGGAAGGCCATGCTTGCGATTGGCTGGCTGGTGGTCTTGCGTTGCTGTGATTGGTCGGTCTGGCAGTAGATCTGCGCTGGTGTGCTGTGTGTCTGCGTCTGTATGAGCAGCGGTCGAGGGGTCTTGCTCAGCCTGGCCTCTGCGTCCTGCACCGACGCTGGGTGTGTGTGTGTGTGGAGGCACGGCGTGGAGAACGATGCTGGGAAGAAGATGTCTCGCTGCTCTTTTGTAAACTTGGGAGTGCTGGGCGCTTCACTGGAGCTCTGCGGGACAGAAAAACAACAGCACAATAAGCTGATGTCATCTCTTTCACAACTTAAAGGGACAGTACACCCATAAATCACACTTGACTTGTTCCAAAACCACACAAGACAAAACAAGAGATCTTGAAGAATGCTAAACTTCCATTGACTATATGTTCTCCTCCTATGGAAGTCAATGTTTTTTCAGCTTTCTTTAAGATTTCTTTTGTGTTCGACAGAAGAAAGAAACTTGTAAAGGTTTATAATAGGGCTGAACAATATATCATTTGAGCATTGAGACTGCAGTTTATATGTGCATTAAACAACATTAGGCATTCGTTTAAGGAAGTAAGCTTTGAATTACATTTGAGCCTTTTTTTAATCAGTTATCTACGTATTTGCATTGTGTTAAGTGTTTAAAGTTAAATGTAACTGATGTTTAGGAATAATTAAAAAATTTAAAGGCGCAGTGAGTAATTTTCCCCACTAGAGGGCTTGAATTAACAACAAACAAAGGCATAGGTCAATATCGCAATGTATTTATCCACAATAGTCACATCGCAAAATTGTATTAGATTCAAAGCTACATACAGTTGAAGTCAGAATTATTCACCCCCTTTTGTTTTTGTTTTTTCTTTTTTTAATTTTTCCCAAATGATGTTTAACAGAGCAAGGAAATTTTGACAGTGTGTCTGATAATATTTTTTCTTCTGGAGAAAGTCTGATTTGTTTTATTTCGGCTAGAATGAAAGCAGTTTTTAATTTTTTTTAAAAACAATTTTGGGACAAAAATCAATAGCCCCTTTAAGCTATTTTTTTTCGATAGTCTACAGAACAAACCATCGTTATACAATAACTTGCCTAATTACCCTAACCTGCCTAGTTCACCTTATTAACCCAGTTAAGTCTTTAAATGTCACTTTAAGCTGTATAGAAGTGTCTTGAAAAATATCAAGTAAAATATTATTTACTGTCAGGGCCGGAGTGGGACTCCTTTTCAGCCCTGGAGTTTCAAGCCTTGGACCTCCCCATCTCAGTTCACGACTGACTATTAAAATAAGGTCATTTCCAATTCAGTTTCTAAGGACACTTTCACGTCATCTTTCAAGAAAACAGCTGCTTTAGAACTTCAAATTTCCAACAACCCTAACAGTATTATATGTCTTAACAATAAAAAATGAAGAAAAAAAAATAATAATAATTTTTCAGATGAGGTTCGAACACGGGTCGGCCGTGTCATATTTTAACGTGCTGACCACTGGACCACAGTGGTGCTGTTGAAATTATGTGGCTGGAATGAAAAACAAATATGGCACTATGACCTGCAAGACTTTTACTGATGGCTTAATCTTTTTCTCTCCTTTTTAAATTTCTGATCAAGTTATGTCAGATTTATTAATGTAGTGAATCATCTGATTTTCATTGAGCAGGTGTATTATTAATCAAAATTAATTATTCGAATTCACTAAGGTGCCGCTTTTTAGAGTCGAATGATGATAGTTACATCATTAATAATTTGCAGGCTGCATTTTGTTTACGGGGCTGCGAGAAAAAAAATAAAAAGAGCGGAGCTGCGGCAAAATAATGAATAAAAAGAGTGAGGCTATGGTCAAATAAATAAATAAATGAAAAAAAGTGCAACTGCTGAGAATGCAAGCAGCTAGGGACACCAGCCCTCGTGGCCAAAAAACGGACCGGCCCACCGGGAATTCTCCCGGTTCTCCCGATTAGCCAATCCGGGCCTGTTTACTGTCATCATGACAAAGATAAAATAAATCAGTTATTAGAAAATAGTTATTAAAACTGATATGCTTAGAATATAGTTCTATAGTTATAGTTTATAATAAACAGGGGGGCTAATAAGTCAGGGGGGCTAATAATTCTGACTTCAACTGTATATTATAAAATATTATATATATTTCAATTATTTATACAATGATGACTATGTTATTTTACATTTAATTGTTCAATTTCTGTACATGAATACTACTCGTCTCCCTGTTTGACTTTTTATTTATAATTTTTGATCCGTCGTAATTAGATATGTTTGTAATTCATTATGTTTTATATAATGAATTACTTGATCTTCGATTAAAAAGAATGACATCTTTCCAAATAGAGCTATATCGCAATATATATCGCTGCAAAACAAAATATCGCAATGTCAGATTTTTATAAAATCGGGCAGTCCTAGTTTATAACCACTTGACCTGAATAAACAGTCATTTTTGGGTGAACTGTTCCTTTAAACAGAGTCAAAAGAAGAGACAGTAAGTCAAACACAGAGTGAAATAAGTTGATCTTGTGGTATTTACTTCACTTACTGCATTCTGACACTTAATAATAACAAACAACTTACTACTAACAACTAGTTTGAATTCAGGATATTGGCACGTTTTCCATCTATTAACCATAATCTGAACTCTTAAAACAGCATTGACAGTAACTCAAGCAACCAATCAAAAAGCAGGAAACCCACATGTTTGGCAAACATCCAATCAAAAGCTCACATTACAAACTTGACCATCCTATAAGCTGCATCCTACCTGTCAACTTGTGTTTGGCCCTGTCAGAAACCCTTCATGGAGATGGACGACTCAGCAGACGCTCAGCAGAAAAACCAAGTGATCATGCAGAAAAAAAAACTCTCCAGCTCTACGTGTGTGTGTGTGTGTGTGTGTGTGTGTGTGTGTGTGTGTCTAGAGAGAAGCACTCAGGGACTCGCTCGCAGCTCCACAAACAAAGTACACGACAACAGAGGCAGCCGTCGCCATAGCAACAAAGCCAAACCTCAGCCAATAGTTGACGAGACGACCACGCACTCCCTTTTTTCTGGAAAACTGCAGTGTGTGATAAACGCTTGCATGTGTGTAACTAAAACAAAAACAGAGTGGTTGCTAGGGGGATCTGAGCGGTTGCTAGGGTGCTGTTAGATCTTTCCTTACCAGCTCAGGTCAAAAAAGTTTTTAACTATGCATAAACCGGGAGTTGCAGAGACTTTCATTTCAGTATGCTGATGTACTTTCAACAAAAAATGGAATACTTAGTAGTGGGCGTGGCTTTCTTTTTACTCATCATTCCCTAATAGCAAGTTAACAGTAAGAGGGGCGTGGCTGAGAGTATTGTGGCTGATACGTTAAACTGACATCATCAGGGAAGGATCGTCCCCTTAAACGATCTAGATTAAAGATTACCAAAAAAAAGAAACTTGTTTTTTTAGGTGGATTAACTTGCATGGATTAATTGTTCACTTAATAGCAAACTAAAGGTAAGGGGGCGTGGCTAATAATATTGTGACTGATATGTCAAACTGACATCATCAGGGAAGGATCGTCCCCTAAAACGAATTAAATTAAAGATTACCAAAAAAAAAAAAAACTTGTTTTTTTAAGTAGATTGACTTGCATGGATTAATTGTTCGCTTAATAGCAAACTAACGATAAGAGGGGCGTGGCTAAGAATATTGTGGCTGATACGTCAAACTGACATCATCAGGGAAGAACCACCTTTCCAAAATATTTTAATTGAAGATTATCAAAAACAACTTCAGTTATTCAGTGGATTAACTTGCACAAATTATTGGTTCACTTAATAGCAAACTAACGAAAAGAGGGGCGTGGCTAAGAATATTGTGGCTGATGTGTCAAACTGACATCATCAAGGAAGGACCACCTTTCCAAATTAATTTGATTGAAGATTACCAAAAACAACTTTTGTTGTTCAGGGGATTAACTTGCATGGATTAATTGTTCACTTAATAGCAAACTAACGGTAAGAGGGGCGTGGCTAAGAATATTGTAGCTGAGGCGTCAAATTTACATCATCAGGGAAGAACCACCACTTTAAATAATTTGAAGATTACAAAAACATTTTTTTCAGTGGATTACCTTGCACAGATTAATTGCTCACTTAAAGACAAATAATGTACGCAAAATAAACAACGTAAATTTAGTTTAAAGAACTACATAGTGTGCTCCAATCTCTTTTACCAAGTTGGTAAATTGTTGTTAAGGTCTTCGGAGAGGCTTTTAAGGCTGATTTACACTCAACACGTCCGCTAGTTTGCTTGAGTGCGCGTGGTGACTGTGACGTCATCACGATGTTTGCGGAGGTTCGCTTTGTGTGCGCATGACATGATTTCTGCTGTAGGATCGCACAAATTTTTTGAGACTCAAGCGGATAGTGCGCATGTTGCTGCATTTGTTTTGAGTTGAATATGAATCACTCAAGAGATTTTGTCTGAAACAGGATCGCCTGTACAGACATCTTTATGATCCGTCCATGCGTGATCATGGAGAAAACCAGATGGAAAATATTTTGGCTAGAAATTGCAACAGCCATGGGAAAGGTGGAACTGTTTTGTTAAAAAGTTTGGAAAAACTTGGGGGATAAGTTCGTTAAAACCATTAAAAGAGGCCATGGCGCAAGTGGAGAAAAGAAATAGTTACAAAACTAATTTGAAATAAATTATTTCCTTGATAACTGGAAAAGAATGTTTAAACCTAAATAAAAAAAAGTCAGTAATTTTAAGCAAGTTTATTTTTTTTTTGCTTTTATTCTTGCCATAATAATAATAATAATAATAATAATAATAATAATAATATATATATATATTTATATATATATATATATATATATATATATATATTTTTTTTTTTATATATAATATTATAATAAACTATAATAGGTAGAGCTTTCTGAGATATGAACAAAAGCAAGTGATACCTCAAAGCTTAATTGAAAAAACATCTTAAACGGTTATAAAATTCTTTATAACCATAAAAACAATTTTGAAAAATAATAAATAAAAAATCCCACACTGACTTTGAATTAAACTACAAAGAAATTAATTGCCAGCCTGCACATTTCCACCACTAGGGGGCCAAAGTGTCACATTAGTGTTTGAGCAAGACTTCAGCTTCTCGTGTGCGGAGTTATGCTGAATGTGGCACAGTCTCGTTACTATGGAAACACCCCAGCAGCACAAACACATGTTCATCCGTGTGCTTAAACATGCATTA